ATTACTCGATTAATTGTAAGAATAATCGATAGATTACTCGATTACTAAAATATTCGTTTACAACAGCCCTAGTTCAGGATGATGTTTTGTTTTAGTTTTTCACCCAACGTTCCAAGTTGTGTCCAAACTGCAGTTCTAACAAGTTACAGCTATTAAAGCCTGATGTTAAATTACTTAGAAAAACGTGTCAGAGGATGATTATTGGTGATTTATACTTAGTCACCAACTTTGGCGAGGGAAGAAAAAAAGAAAAGCAAGAGAGATCATATTTCACTGACATTGGTCCATTTTCCGTCTGCTCACAAAGGGTCTGTAGGCGTGATAAGATTGCCAAGGATACAGTCACCCTGCAGATTACAAAGAACTGAATTCCTTCAGAGCCATTGAAAAGTTCATCATCTAGATTTCTCTAACAGCTTGTGTTTTTTGTTTTGTTTTTTTTCCTGAGAATCTCTGTGACGAGGCTGGCTGTCTTGCAGACACTACTGCAGCTGTTTACGGCTGAATGAATCTTTAAGACGTGATCATCTAGCTAGCTGATGCTGATTAGCTCCACCATCTACCAACTGTAACGCCACTGAACTCACTCAGGTTTTTGTCCCTCTCCATTGGCGTAGATGAGGTGCTGCTGTTGTTGTTGATGAGCTTTTGTTGATTTCCTCCATGATTTACTTCACCTTGTAAACCGGGCTGCGTCAGACGTGAGCGACGATTAGCGCTACGACTGATGGAGCGCCGAGCCGCTCGCAGCGCTGGATCTGATTTGTCGCCCTGCGATCAAATCAGTCCTCATTTAGATGGTGTCAGACACACAGATGCACCTCGTACGTCTTCCCCCCCAGGCGCTCTCTACCGTCTCTTAAACATTTCATAAATAAGGATCAGCTTTTCTATTCTGTTTTATGATCATCTTAAAGGGTTTATTAATGCTTCCCAAACTCCTGCCATGAGCAGTGTTTGTCTGAAATGAATGTTCATCCATTTTTAAAGAACAAATTGATGCTAACTCCTGACATATGTTGTCTTTTTGCTTTTTTTTTTTGTTTGTTTGTTTTGTTTTGTTCCTCTCAGGGATCCATAGTGGAGTATGACGTTTGCCCCAAAGACAACCCCTCATATGTGTGCAATAAGAAAACCAGCTGCAAGAGCTGCTCTGTGGACCAGAACTGCCAGTGGGACAATCGCAACCAGGAGTGTATCTCACTGCCAGGTAGTTCTGACGTTCACTTAGTTTGAAATATTGGCGTCATAGCATGAAAGTGAATAGAATAGTCTTAGTAAAAAGAACGTCTTTATGGTTAAATGAATCAGGGTTTAGCAAAAATTGTGTTGGAACTGCTGAACAAGCTCACATTGTCTATTTGTTTTGTTTTCTAAAAACTGAACCATTATTTTTCCTAACAGCTCTACTTTGGTCCTATTTGTCCAAGGGTCATTGATCCAGAAGTCTTCTGAGTCCTCCAGAAGAAAGTGTCTTTTCTCTGTTTAGAAATTGAAGCTTTACTACTGACAGCCTTTTCCACCAAGCCACACCGGATTTGTTCAGTTGCTGTTTTCTAATTTCTCTGACTGTGTTTACATTACAAATCTGTGCAAATCTTTGTTTAGCTTCTGTTGAAGTAAAAATGAAAAAAAATAATTATAATAATTTCACAACTGCAGAGTATCCATTAAGTAAGAAGCTAAGTCAAAATCAAACGTGACTAAACTTGTTCACACGATAAAACGGTTATATGTTTACAGTCATAGTGCTAGCGCTCATCTATCCGCCTACTTGGGAGTGGCTACATGTGTGAAGTTTTGGAGAAATTGTAGTCAATCATTTTACAGAAGAGCTATGGATTCATTTTACAGAAGAGCTATGGATTCGACACGTTTGAATTACAAACAAGTTTTTTATAAACTGTGATTTTTCACGTTGACTGAAAAAAAAAAAAAAACCATCGTCCTGCTACTTCCTGTCATCTTCTTTGTGGTTTCCATCAGTAGTAGCTTCTGACTGTTGATCATGTGACTCGTGATGCAATAAAATTGCTTCCGTTGCAGTTTTGCAAAATACATCTATTTCTGATAAACCACCTCATCCTCAAACATTTTTATCGAACAAATTTGTTTTTTTCCCCCCCCAAAACTGCCACATTTCCATGAATCAAATTTGATTTTGTACTTTCAATTTTATGGTTAATGGAATCACACTTATTGTCAGGAACTTGTTTTTTTTTTTTTACAATTTCTCCAAGCATTGTTCAGCCTGAAACGTTTTCTCCCTGTAGGACGATGGTCTTCATATTACTTAGAAATTAATTTATTGACAACAAAAACTCCTAGAATCCATTTTTATTTTTTCTTACTGTTATACACGTATTTCAGCTTGATTTCACGCTGCGTTTTTCTCAATCCAGCGTCTTTCCTCTCTGCTCCAGAGAACGTGTGCGGCGAGACCTGGCACCTGGTGGGTAACTCCTGCCTGAAGTTCAACACGACCAGCGAGTCGTACGACTATGCCAAGCTGGCCTGCAGGAACCACAACGCCGTCCTGGCCTCCCTCACTACACAGAAGAAGGTGGACTTTGTCCTGAAGGAGCTGCAGATCATGAACGTCATGGTAAGGCTCGCGATGATCCTCGGATTAGCAAAAACAGAATGGTCCCCTTCCCTACTGGGGAAGTGGGAGGCAAGATCCCGATGATTCCAGCAGAACGGGGGCGGAGTTTGATCGGCTCCAACAAGAGGGAGACATGACAAGGGTTTTCTCGTCTAATCGTTCCATTCATACTTGACTAGTGAGGCGCTTCCCAAAACTTGCCTTCAAGTATCTTTGTTTTTTTTTCTCCCTGGGCTCTGTTGTGATTTTTTTTTTTTTTTTTTTTTTTTTTTTTTTTTTTTGCCACAAAAAATTTAAAAAATTTTTAAATA